ATCATAAACTGGTTAAGGATATTGTTTTTTTTTTCTTTTTACATTGAGAAAATCTTTTATCATGTTTTCCTCTCTAAAATAGCATAACAATTAAAACCACACATGTAGTAATAAGGAACAACCACTAGGGGGCGACAGCGCAGAAATAATACACATATGATTTAATCTTCCGGCAGGGGGCGCAACGAGCTGCTTGTTTCGGAGCTCTTCGGGGTTCTTCGGCTGTGCTCGGTAGGTAACGGTCGATACATTCAAATGTTCGACCGGAGCTCCTCCACAGAGTGAAGCGAAGAAAGAAACGAACGACCGAAGCCGATAGACGGCGCGTGGAAGCGGAATGACGGTGCTGCAGGAACCTGTCCAGGTCGGTACACCGTGTTCCAGCGCTGTCATGACCGAACAGGGAAGAGTTGTGGAATATAGCTCAGTGGTTGTTTCAGTCCGCGCTCGGAGAGCTTCTCCTCGTACCAGGCCGCGGCTCAGACCCCGGCTTTCCTGCTTGTTTCAACTGTTTATGTCCACATAGTCCGGCTTCACCAGCTGTCCGTCACCAGTCGGTCCAGGGTTAACCCCCAAACCCTCTCCATATCTACCGCTTCTGTGTGAACTGACACCGAGGATACAGGCAGTCCTCTTTAAACAATGCCTTATTAATATGTTTCTTGCGACCAATAAAGAAAACCGTGGATTTAAGTGGAACTTGTGAAATTTTCTAGCGTGGATTTTTGTTTATTTTAATTCGGCTTCTATTTTAATTTATTTCAAGCGTTTTTCTTTAAGAATACCGATAATGTTTAAAACGTATTGGTACCGAGAGTCTGTGGTTATTATAATGTTAATGTTCTAGGAGACTCGGACACCTTTCTTTAACTCCAGATTTAGAGCTGAATTTGAATGTTTGGTCAAATTTATGTCAGCCGAATACATCCACTGACTCTGTGTATTGTATAGATATAGCTATTATGATGATGTTAACCGCTTTTTAGATTGAATTTACAGCTCTTATTTTGAAACTGAACATTAGCCCGGTTTGCCTTGCAGAGCTAGCTAGTTAGCTCGCTCCTACCGGCTACTGGCCTCCTAATATCGGCTTCGGGTTTCAGATTTTTGCCCCCAGAGATATGTCACCAACCCGGTTCCGTTCTTCTGAGGCAGACCCCCCTGATTCGTCGGTCCAATCTGAGGCCGGGTTCTCCCCACTGGACCGAAATAGCAGGGAGCTGGTTAGCTGCAGCGGCTAACGTCGGCTAGCTGAATGTTAGCACTGCTTTAGACAGGTGTGCTGGTGACAGAGCAGTCATTTATCTATCATAGTGTTGATGCTGAACAGATTGTTTATCCTTAAATCATACGTTTATTCGGAATAAACAACATTAGATCAGTGAAGCAGGCTTTCTTTGTATTTTAGGGTCAAGGTCTGGGGACCCCAGGTGTGTTTAAATAAAATAATTTATGGGAAACACATAAACAATCTAAGCTTAATTAGAGTATATAAGATGTGAGTGAAACAGGACAAGTGATTCTACTGGTCAGGAGAACCACTGTTGTTGAGATATGAGCAGGAAATGTGCTGCTGTTGATCTGTTAAAGGAATAGTACACCCAAAACATGATTAGCCTTCATTTTCTACTCACCCCCATGCTGAACAACACTCTGGAGTACTTTTTTGATATCT